AAGGAGCTCCAAAGACTCTTAACCACTCAGAAATTCCTCCTCATTCTCAGTCGTACATTGGGGTTCCTTTATCCTGAGTCATAGTCATGCAGCACGGAGAAAGACTCTTCGGTCTAATTCATCCATGTAGACTAAGTCTGCCACTTGCCTGCATTTGGCCCATGTCCCTCTAAACCTTTCCCATTCATATACCAATACAAATGTCTTATAAATGTTGTAACTTTACCTGTATCTACCACTTCTTCTAGCAGTTTGTTCCACACATGAACCACCCACTCTGTGAAAATGTTGCTCCTCAGGTTCCTTTTAAATCTTTCTCAAAGAACAAAGAAAATTACAGCACAGGAACAGGCCCTTCGGCCCTCCAAGCCTGCGCCGATCCAGATCCTCTATCTAAACCTGTCACCTATTTTCCAAGGATCTGTATCACTCTGCACTCTGCCCATTCATGTATCTGTCTACATATATCTTAAATGATGCTATCGTGCCCGCCTCTACCACTTCCCCTGGCGACGCGTTCCAGGCACCCACCATCCTCTGCGTAAAGAACTTTCCACGCATATCTCCCTTAAACTTTTCCCCTCTCACCTTGAAATCGTGACCCCTAGTAATTGAGTCCCCCACTCTGGGAAAAAGCTTCTTGCTATCCACCCTGTCTATACCTCTCATGATTTTGTAGACCTCAATCAGTTCTCCCCTCAACCTCCGTCTTTCTAATGTAAATAATCCTAATCTACTCAACCTCTCTTCATAGCTAGCGCCCTCCATACCAGGCAACATCCTGGTGAACCTCCTCTGCCCCCTCTCCAAAGCATCCACATCCTTTTGGTAATGTGGGACCAGAACTGTACGCAGTATTCCAAATGTGGTCGAACCAAAGTCCTATACAACTGTAACATGACCTGCCAACTCTTGTACTCAATACCCCATCCGATGAATGAAAGCATGCCGTATGCCTTCTTGACCACTCTATCCACCTGCGTTGCCATCTTCAGGGTACAATGGACCTGAACACCCAGATCTCTCTGTGCATCAATTTTCCCCAGGGCTTTTCCATTTATCGTATAGTTTGCTCTTGAATTGGATCTTCCAAACTGCATCAGCTCACATTTGCCTGGATTGAACTCCATCTGCCATTTCTCCGCCTAACTCTCCAATCTATCTATATTCTGCTGCATTCTCCAACAGACCCCTTCACTATCTGCTACTCTACCAGTCTTAGTGTCGTCTGCAAACTTGCTAATCAGACCATCTATACCTTCCTCCAGATCATTTATGTATATCACAAACAACAGTGATCCCAACACGGATCCCTGTGGAACACCACTGGTCACAGTTCTCCATTTTGAGAAAGTCCCTTCCACTACAACTCTCTGTCTCCTGTTGCCCATCCAGTTCTCTGTCCATCTAGCTAGTACACCCTGGACTCCATGCGACTTCACTTTCTCCATCAGCCTACCATGGGGAACCTTATCAAACGCCTTACTGAAGTCCATGTATATGACATCCACAGCCCTTCCCTCATCTATCAACTTTGTCACTTCCTCAAAGAATTCTGTGAAGTTGGTAAGACATGACCTTCCCTGCACAAAACCATGCTGCCTATCTCTAATAAGCCCATTTTCTTCCAAATGTAAATAGATCCTATTCCTCAGTATTTTCTACAGCAGCTTCCCCACCACTGACGTCAGGCTCACTGGTCTATAATTACCTGGATTATCCTTGCTACCCTTCTTAAACAAGGGGACGACATTAGCAATTCTCCAGTTCTCCCGAACCTCACCCGTGCTCAAGGATGCTGCAAAGATATCTGTTAAGGCCCCAGCTATTTCCTCTCTCGCTTTCCTCAGTAACCTGGGATAGATCCCATCCAGACCTGGGGACTTGTCCACCCTAATGCCTTTTAGAATACCCAACACTTGCCCCCTCCTTATGCCGACTTGACCTAGAGTAATCAAACATCTACCCCTAACCTCAACATCCGTCATGTCCCTCTCCTCGGTGAATACCGACGCAAAGTACTCATTAAGAATCTCACTCATTTTCTCTCACTCCTCACATAACTTCCCTCCTTTGTCCTTGAGTGAGCCAACCCTTTCTCTAGTTACCCTCTTGCTCCTTATGTACGAATCTCCTTATGTACTTATCTCCTCTCATCTTGAAAATATGCCTGCTGGCTTTGAACTCACCCGTCCCAGGGAAAAGACCTTTGCTATCACATTATCTATGCCCCTCATGATTTTATAAACCTCATTAAGGTCACCCATCAATCTTCAACACTCCAGTGAAAAAAGTCCCAGCCTATCCAGCCTCTCCTTCTAACTTAAACCTTCCACTCCCATCAACAGCTTGGTAATATTACTGAACCCTGTACAATTTAATAATATCCTTTCTATAGCAAGGTGAGCAGAACTGGACACAGTTCTCCAGAAGAGGCCTCACCAGTGTTCTGTATAACCTAAACATGATGTTCCAACTCCTATACTCAATGATCTGAGCGATGAAAGCAAGTGTGCTAAATGCCTTCTTCACCACCCTGACTACCTGTGATGCAACTACGTGCTTGAACCACTACGTCTCTCTGTTCAACAACATTACCCAGGGCCCTATCATTAACTGTGTAAGTCCAGCCCTTGTTTGTTTTACCAAAATGCAATACCTCACATTTATCCAAATTAAACACCATCTGCCATTCCTTTAATCCATCGGCTGAATTGATCAAGATCTCTTTGTAATCTTAGATAACCTTCTTCACTGTCAGCTATACCACCAATTTTGGTGTTATCCACAAACTTACTAACCATGCCTCCTAAATTCTCATCCAAATCATACGCTGTCTCCTAGACTCTCCCAAGAAGGGAAACATCCTCTCAGCATTTACCCTGTAAAGCCTTTTAAGAATCCGATATGTTTCAATGAGATCACTTCTCATCCTTTCAACCTCCAGTGAGTAGAGTCCCAACCTGTTCAACCTCATCTCATTAGACAATCCCTCCATACCAGGGATCATTCTAGTGAACTTTCTCTGAACTGCATCAAATGAAATGATATTTTCCTTCAATAAGGGGACCAAAACTACTCACAATACTGCAGAAGTGGTTTCCTCAGTACCTTGTACGGTTGCAGTAAGACTTTCCTACTCTTACACTCCAACTCTGTTGAAATAAGGGCCAACATTGGCTTCATCTTCCAGAAGTCCCTGAATTCTCAAACCATGTCCATAGACTGGAAGTTAGTAAACATAATTCCGGCATTCAAAAGAAAGGAGGTAGAGAAAATGTGAAATTGTACGCCATTAGGCATGACAGCTGTCGTAGAGAAAATCCTGGAATCTGTTATTATGGACATGGTAACGGCACTTGGGGAATTGGAATATAATTAGGGAGAAAAACAGGGATTTGTGAAAGGGAAATCGTATTTGGCAAAACTTTGAGTTTTTTCAGATTGTAACTGGCAGGTTAGATAAGTGAAAATTAATGAACCAGCTACAAAAACAAATGCACGGTAACACCACAACTTGCAAGTTCCCACCTAAGTCACTCACCATTCTGACTTGGAATATGTCACCCTTCCATGTCGCTAGGTCAAAATCCTCTCAGTAGCAGTGTTGTACTTACACCTTGTGGAGTCAAGAAGGTGGCTCATCACCACCTTCCTGAGGCCAGTTAAGGATTGATAATAAATGCTGGTTGAGTCAGCAGTGTCCACATCCTGTGAAATAAATTTTTAAGAACCTTAAAAAATGTTAGTCTATTCTGATTTTCAAATAGCCATCAATAATGTATTATAAATGAGATTATTGCAAAACGATTAGAGCATAAAATGGTGCTACAGCAATATATTTAATAGATTGAGGATTGATTAACAGAAAACAGTAGTACTGAACAGGCCATTTTTTTTGGTATGGCGGTTGTGACTAGTGTGACACTACAAGATTCAGTGTTTGGACCAAGCGTAATGTGTCCAAACGTGATGTTGCAGAGTCTGCAGAGGGATAAAGACTGTTTCAGTGAGGAGGCAAGAACAAGGCCTGTGGAATATAATGTGGGAAAGTACAATTAACAACTTCAGAAGAAAAATAGGAAAGCAGAGCATTTATTACTGCTCCCAATTGTGCAGTAGACAGTTAAGAGCCAACCATATTGCTGTAGGTCTGCAGTCACGTGTAGGCCAGACTAGGTAGGGATGATGGGTTTCCTACCCTAAAGAACATTAGTGAACCAGATGTTTTTGACGACAATTGACAGTGGTTATATAGTCACCATGAGGATGGCTTTTAATTCCAGATCTTGTTTTATGGAATTCAGTTTTCACCATCTATCATGGTGCAATTCAAGCTTGTGTCTCCAGAACAATAGCCTAGGGTTCTGAATTACTAAGTCCAGTATCGTTGCCACTTTGCCCACTTATTTCAATGAAATCTTATTGCAGACCAGATCTGGAGTATTGTGTACGTATTTAGTCTCCTCATCTAAGGAAGAATGTGGTTGTTTTAGAAGGAGTGCAATTAATGTTTGAACAGCAGATTCCTGGCTTGTTTTATGAGAAGTTGAGTGAACTATATTTCCAAATTCAGAAATGTGGATAATTTCATTAAAACGTGTAAGGAACTTAATAGGCTGGGTGCTGAGAACATACTTCTTTTGACGGATGAGTCTAGAACAGGGAATCACTGTCTCAGAATGAGATTGTAGCATTTAGGCCTGAGATGTGGAGAAATTCTTCACCCACTATTTCAGATATTTGGAACTTTTTACCCAAGAGAGCTTTGGATAGTCCAGTCGTTGAGTTTGCTCAAGAGATTATTGGAATGAAGAGATATGGGGATAGCGTGGACAGATGGGACTGACACAGATCAGTCATGATCGTTTTGAATGGGGGAAGAGGCTCGGAAAGCCAAATGGCCTATTCCGGCTCCTAGTTCTTATGTTTTTATGGGGTTTTTATAAATTGTATGATGTGATTTGAACTCTGTCTTGTGCTGAAGCTTTTTCTAAAAGATTCTAAATTTCCGTCCCAGGTGAAGCAGAGCTCTCTACGCTCTCACATTGGTGTAGTGCCTCAGGACACCGTTCTCTTCAACGACAGCATTAGAAACAACATCCGGTATGGCAGAGTGACTGCAAGTGACAAGGACGTAGAGGAAGCCTCTCTAGCAGCTGATATTCACGAGCGGATAATTACTTTCCCTGAAGGTATGAGAGTGTATTCTGTCTTTGTTCGTTTGGTGGTAGCAAAGACACTTAGTATCCAATCACAGTTTCTAGAAGGCCCTGTTGAAATAAGCAAAGATTTTCAAACACATTCTTTGGAATCCTACATTCACCAGGTCAGTTTGGAGATCCCCTGTAAATCTGCATATTTCTGCAGTTCTTGGCCTGCTGGTACAGGTACATTATTTTAATTACCTTACGTTAATAATTATTTCATCCAATGACAACACCATTTTCTTTTGGGTAACTGATACTGTCTTTCAAAAGTTATGACCAGGACGTACCTGGAGTGTAAAAAAAAATTTACAAATTATTCCAAATGTCAAAAGGCCTACACTTATTCCATGTTGCCTCCATTCCCATAAGCAGAAAAATAAAATTTTTGAATAGAGGGAAATTAGCTCTCCCATTAGGGTGTATTTTTGTTGTGCATGGAGAAGACCATTTCTGATGCATAGCTTTTTTCATTGGATGTAGCAGGGCATTTGTTATTCATCTTTAATTGCCTTTGAACTGAGTAGCTTGCTAGGTACTTCGATTTATCAGACACATTGCTGAGTCTAGAGTCACATGTTCACCAGACTAAGTGAGGATGCCAGATTTCCTTAACGAACCAGATGTGTTTTTAATGACCATTTATAACAATCACCCTCACTGAGACCAGCTTGAGATTCCATATTTATTTGTTGAATTTCAGTTCCTCACGATGGGGTATCTGGAACAGGTGAGAAATTTTCGAATCAACCTGTTCAGAGATGTTATTAGTTATGTTATTAGAACAGGTGAGTCATGAACCCAGGCTTCCTGGCCCAGAGGTACAGACAGTTACCATGCCTCTGCTAAAGTCCAATGAGCATTGCCTGTTCCCTAAAAAGCTCTGGAGCTATTCTGATTTACCCTTAGGGGCTCTTATGGTGCAGTGATAGTGTCCGCACTTCTGAGGAAGACTGTCTGGGCTCAAGTTCCATCTGCTCTAGAAGTGTGTAATAACTTATAGCTGGACAGACAAATTAAAGAAAAACGTTCTGAGCATGATTACAATCTCCAGCTGTTTGTAACATGTCATGTTCTTCAGGTTATGATACCCAAGTCGGGGAAAGAGGACTGAAACTGAGTGGAGGAGAGAAACAGAGAGTGGCAATTGCCAGAACAATCCTGAAGGCTCCTCGGATTGTTCTTCTAGATGAGGTACTTAAGGAGTGAAATCACAGAAATTGCATTGAGTCTGAGAAATGGAAATAAAAATTATTGATTACAAGTCTGAAATCGACATGATACCACATTTCACTAGAAATAATCAAGCTTGTTCCTTAACTCTCAGAACCGTGTCTGTGCATTGTTAAAGAATCCAGCTTTAAGCTGAAATTTGCTAAGTTTTTGTTTTACAACCTCTATTCCTGACCTAATGCTAACTAATACAACTGGTTCCGTCTCCTCAAAGAAAAAATGGCTTGTATATGCAATCTCTGTATGTTCCAAAACATTTTACGGTCAATGACTGACATTTGAAGTGTAGTCACTGATAGAAATGTGTGGGAGCACCTACTGTGCTAAATGTAGAGCTTCTTATTATCTGACTGAAGAATCTAGTTGCTTCTAAGCTTAAAAAAACATAGTTGTTCAAATGTTCACTCAATATTTTACACTATACGCTTTCAATAGCTGATGGATTGGCTGAACCTATTTGTTCACAGTCTGCTAATGAATCTTTCCACTGTCGTGTTTCAGTGTTCTAATCATTCATCTTCACTGCATTTGAACAGGCTACATCTGCTTTAGACACACAAACTGAAAGAAACATTCAAGCCTCCCTGGCCAAAGTCTGCGCCAACAGGACCACGATTGTTGTGGCTCACAGGTAATGTTATAATAAGACTGCTTCAGGATTTTTGCTGCTTGGAATTTAGAACTAAACACTAACGTTGTGCAACTTGCCTTAAGTGAAAATAAATTATTCTGAGTTGCCATTTAAGCCTTTGAAAGGAATGCCTTTGAAAAGAACTGAGGATGGAGCTGTCCAAGGTAAGAAAGGGGAGATGTTGGATTTGCAAAACCAGTAGCAGAATTATCTCCCAATCATTGAAAGGCTCTTAATTTTCTTTAATCTGTCAGAAGACAGGGAAGATATTGTAGTGTATTAATTCAAATGATAAGTTGTGAAAGAACTGGAGCTGTAGACACTCAGGAAATGTAGAGCTAGATGAATTTTTGATTGGTAAGGGAATCAAGAGATAGTAGGTGCAGAGGGATGTCAGGAAATTGGAGCTAAAGGCATAATCAAATCAGCTATGAACTTATTGAGTGGCAGAGCAAATTTGAGGGGCTGAATTGCCAGTTACTGCTTCAATTTCTTATATAGTCTTTTTTTAAATGCCTTAAATGAGATATGGAAGTCAATGACAGGCCAGTGTTTGTTACCTGTTCCTAAGGGATCTCCACTTTAGGCAAGAAGTGAGCACGCGATCATTCTTGACTTCAGCCTTCAAATGTTAGACCTGTTCTTGTAGCCAAAGTATCTACCTGGCTTGTCTAGTTTGCTTTCTGGTTAATGATAATTACTCTGGAATATTGATAGTGGGGCTTCAATGATGATAATGCTGTTTAATGTTAGATTCTCTCTTATTAGAGATGATCTTTGCTTGGCACTTACGTGGCTTGAATGCTACCTATCACTTAGCAGCCCAAACTTGAATGTTGCTCTGGTCTTGCTGCATGTGCACGCAGATTGCTTAAGTATCTGAAAGTTTGCAATTTTAATATGACACGACAAGATCTGGCCAAAGTGAGCTTGGAGCAACTACATTTAGCAAATTCTACAGCAGAACATCGGGAGTCTTTCAAAAGGAAATAGTGAGAGTGCAGGAATAAATTGTTTCTGTACAAGTGAAGGGTGGGACCAACAAGTCCATTGAACTCTGGATGTTGAGGAATATACAGGATAAAAGGGAAGCCAATGGTACACGCCAAATGCGCAAAGCACCAGAAACCCTGGAGGCACATCGAAAGTGCAAGGGCTTACTTGGAAAGTGAAGAGTGGAGCATGAAAAAGCACTGATGGGTAAAATAAAGAAAAATCCAAACGCATTTCATAAGTATATTTGGAGCAAGAGAGAAAGAGTAGGGCTGATTAGGGACTAGGGTAGCAAACTATGTATGGAGCCAGAAGATGTAGGTGACGTTTTAGCTAAGTACATTGCATCTGTTTCACTATAGAGAAGGATGATGTAGGTAAAGAAATCAGGGAGAGGGACTTTGATATACCTGAACAAATTACACTTGAGAGGGAGGCAGTATTAGCAGTTTTAGCAGGCTTGAATATATCACCAGACCCGATGAGATGTGTCCTAGGCTGCTGGGGTAGGCAAGGGAGGAGATTGTGTGAGATTAATTTTCAAATCCTGACTGGACACAGAACAGGTATCAGAGGTTTGGAGGACAGCTAATGTAGTACCACTGTTCAAGAATGCTGCTGGAGATAAATCAGGGAACAATAGGCCAGTGAATCTAACATTAGGAGTAGAGGAACCTTTGGAAAAAAAATTTTGAGACAGAATTAAACTCCACTTGGAGAGGCAAAGATTTGTTAAAGATAGTCAGCATGGCTTTGTCAGGAGGAGAATATGTCTGGCAGATTTGATTGAGTTTTTCAAAGAGGTGACTAGGTGTCTAGATGAAGGAAATGCAGTGTTGTAGTCTACGTGGCTTTCAGTAAGAATTCTGACAAGTTCTCACATGGGAACTGGTCAAGCAGGTAAGAGCCCATTGGATGCAGGACAATTTGGCAAATTGGATCCAAAATTGGCTTCGTGGCAGGGGGCAGAAGGTCATAGTCAAAGGTTGTTTTTGTGACTGGAAGCCTATTTCCAGTGCCATATTGCAGTGTTTTGTGCTGGGTTATTTGTGTTTATAGTGCACATTAATGATCTAGACATGAACACAGGAGGTTTGATCAATAAGTTCACAGATATTGTGATAATTGATGGTGAAATAAATAGCGAGGAGGAAAGTTTTAGACTTCAGGGCATTATAGACTGCTGGTTAGATAGACGAAACAGTGGCCAATGGAATTTATTCTGGCATAATACAAGGTGATGCATTTTGGGATGATGAACAAGGCAAGGGATATATGAGATGAATGATAGAGTTTTAGAAAGTACAGAACACCTTGGTGCAACTGTCCCTTGATCCTTGAAGGCAATAAGTCAGTCGAAAAGTTAAAATGGCCTATGGAATGCTTGCAACTTGTCCTTATTATCTGAGGCATTAGATACAAGAGCAGGGAGGTAATGATGTAGCTATATAAGTTAGTTAGGTCACAGCTCGAGTATTGTGTGTATTTCTGGTCACCACACTATACTGTACTAAGGGTGCAAAGAAAATTCAGGGATGGTGCCTGGGCTGGAGTGATTCAGCTATGAAGCGAGAGTAGATAGGCTGAGGTTGTTTTCCCTGAAGCAGAGAAGGCTGAGGGTGGACATGATGTACGCAATTTGAGGGATGTAGATAGGTTGGAGAGAAATAAACTTTTCCTTTGGTAGAGGGGTTGAGAATAGATAGACTTGATGAGTGGCATGGTCATGATTAGGTGAAGGGCTTTATTGCGAGCTGTAAAATTCTCTGATTCTATGACCATTGCAATCTGCCTGTCTAATCCCAGAGCCCAGAAAATCTCAGGATTCAATAATGGAGCACAACTAGGCTGTGTACTGCCTCTAATACTGATCCTATATCAGTGACTTCATGTTCCATCTGTTAAACCCAGATGGAACTGTTTGTCTCACTCTGCCTCGGTCATGCCACACCCCACATTGGTCCAATCAACATTGTTGCAATTGATGAATGGTGCCGGTTCTTTTATGCTGTAATTGACCGAGTGTGTTACAGATGTTTTAAACATCAGACATTACAGGCTTCTCCCTGACCAAATCGCACTTACAAAAAATACAAACTGCTGCCCGTATCTTAAAAACACTATTGTAAAAATGCTACACAGAAATTGTATTAAGCTGAAGTTTTAAATTTTTCTTAATTGGGTTATGGGCATCACTGGCAACACGAGTATTTGTTTCCCATATCTAATTCTCATCTCTAATCTGAGCAGTTTATTAGAGTATTTCAGAGGGCAGTTAAGAGTCAGCTACATTGCTGTAAGTCTGTAGTCAAATGTAGGCCAGACGAGTAAGGGTAATTGATTTCCCTCCTTTAAGGGCATTAGTGGAGAACCCTATCTCACGCACACACATGGTACCACACAGTACCATTGTAAACATGGCACAAAAGAGCTGGGTAAACCTAAGACATTGAACACACAACAGAGCCTACTACTTGGAGATTACAACTGTTGGTGGACAGTTTTAAAAAAGATGCTTTACCTTGATAACTTGATGTTAGAAGAATGCAAGCTAAGTTAAAGTAGAAAATCATATCCTGCCTATGGCTGCTCCGAGAGCTGGAAGACTCTATATCGTCAGGTGGTAAAAACAGGCGTGTGTACAGATGGAAGGTTCTGTGTTCCCCTAAGTGCAGGGCTTTTACTAAGCATGTAGTGTGAACATGGATGCTGCTTGCTGTCCTCTAAGGGTTAATGCTGTTTTATTTTCCTTTCAGTAAATAATTGCGGTATGAACAAAGGCTTGGGAACCTGCCGTGGCATCCTCCCTGGCCTGCTGTGTGATGACAAATTGTAAATACATATCCTGCTCTTTGATCTCTGACTAAATGTGTGTCTGTCAACAACTTTGATCTTCAACCTTATTTACTAAAAAAACCCGTCCCCCCCCCCCCCCCCGCCCAAACGTTTTTGATGTGGGTAGGGTCTGTTTATGAGGAGCATGTATGCCATTTGGGGAGGAACAACAAGACTTCTGGCAGTGGCTTCGGCTGGTGACCACTTCCCATTGGGCTCAAGTGAAACAGTAAAGATAATAAAAAACATTTTTAATGATTTTTGGCACAAAGATGTTTTCAATCGATTGACCTTTTGAAGTGCAGCAGCTGCAGCTAGTGGGAGCACTGTGCTGCCACATGCTGCACTCAGCAGTTTCCTGTGTACAGCAAGAGTGCAGGCTGCAAAGAATTGGAAGTGTAAAGATAATGACAGTATCTTGAATGAAAGGCCTGGTAGGGGCTTTAGATGAAACTCCACTGGAGACTTTTCCCTGAAAAGAGACATTGGAATCCAGATCTATGCAGGAAGTTCTGGGCAGTTCAGTTACTGTTTCAGAATAGAACTAGCAGCATGATGAGCTTAATGCTGTTTAGTAAAATTTCTGCAGCTAATGGCAGTCCATAAGAATACAGATAGCGTCGATCCTGTTATGGGAGACAGATCCTTTGGCAGCTTTAGGTTCCTGAGTAATTTAATCTTTAATCAGCATTTTATAATTGACGTCACTTTATTTCTTCTGGGATGTCTCAATTAACGGGCTTCAGTTGAAATGGAAATTAGAATCACAGCAAGAATTGCAAATATGTAGTTTGGTTTGTAATTCAAAGTCTATTTTTCTACATCACTTCAGTTCAAATAACTTGAATTTATACAGCTTTTACAGTAAATCAAAGTGCTTTACAGTCATAAGAAGTAGGAGCAGGAATTGATCAATTGCCCCTCCAAGCACACTCTGCAGTTTGTGTGATAATGGCAGATAATGAGCTTTAGCTCCACTTTCTTGCCCACTTCCCATATCCTTTGATTCCCTGAGAGACCAAGATTCCACCTCACAACACTAAATGATTGGCCCTTATCCTAAGATTGTGCCCCCAAATTTTAGATTCCCCAACTAGCTTGAATAATCTCTCAGATTTTACGCTATCAAGCACCTCTTCAGCTTTTTCTTTCCATCAGAATGTTGTTCAATG